GAAGGGAGGGCGGGACCAAAGTATGTAAGGGTCGCTCATGGCCAGGTCGCGGAGGGGGAACGGAACGGATATGTGAAGGGTTCGGGAACGCTCCCTTAAAAAGCGCCAATGTATTTCCTAACAGGAATAAATCATTACTACTACTACTACTACTACTTCGACAATACTGTGATAAAATATTTTATTTACTTCGATAAAATATTGATAATTTTTTTTTACATCGATTAAAATATTTTTTCACAACAGAATGGAGATTGTTCTGATATCTTAATTATTAAAATAAACATAGATTTAATTTGATTATATATACATACTTCATTTGTTATTTCCTGCAATATTTATCTGAGCAGATAAAGATCGATTTGACGTCGACTAGATGTCGACTAGACGTCAATAAATTGTTCTAGCTTCCTAAATGTAATTTTTTACGGCGTTAAACTATGTATATCGTTAAATTTTTCTTTCTGCGTATATTTCATATACATATATAAAACCATAGGCAGAATATCGATATGTAATCGACGTCGAATCGATTATACAGTATGAATCGACAAGACATCGACATCAGTGACAAAAAGAGATCGATGTCGATTTTAATTTCGATTTCATTTCGAACACGCATATCGACGTCGATTATTGATGTCGGATCGACATTTTTTGTCTCACTGGGTTAAGGCCTGTGTCCATGGCGCTAGTACTTGGTCCAAGTTCTAGTTTTGAGAAATGCGTAGCCAATCAACTTGCAGCTTTTGTGGAACAGCTATATTGATTTGCTACATATTTCGCGGAATTAGAACTTGGACCAAGTACTAGCGCCATGGACACAGGCCTTAATTCGCCTGAATAGATACAAAGTTTTCTTTAGTCTTCATGGCTTCCGGATGGTTGCCGCGTCCGTTTGCAGTGTGGTGCCGACGTTTCGCTAGCGTTGCAGTCTGCTTCATCAGGGCTGGGAGTCTGATACTGAGCTCCCTCGCGTTGCGCTAGTCCTTTTATACTCGTTCTTGGAGGGGGAAGAGGGGTAGTCAGGGGGAGGGGGTGGTCAGAGGGAGGGGGGTCAGCCTATACCGGCTGACCGTTTTTTAAAAAACCGGGAGGGCGGTGTGCCATATCGGGCTCACCTGATAGCCTTTGTCGCGATTCAGATTGTCGGGGTGTTTCAAGATTTCTATGCCTTCGCGGTGTTTCCGTGCGAAATAGCTTTGGGACGGGGCCAGCATGGTGGCTTTGTCGAACTGGATGGCGTGTCCGGTCTCGATCTTGTGTTCGGCTAGAGCTGATTGTGAGAAGTGGTCGTATTTGGTACATCGCTGGTGTTCTTTGATTCGTGTACTAATCTTCCTCCCGGTTTCTCCTATGTACACTTTGCCGCAGGAGCATGGGACCTTGTAGACCCCTGGGGCTGTCAAAGGGGGTCTCCGTCCTTGGGATTGGGGAGCATTTGTGAGAGCTTGTTGCAGGGTTTGAAAATCGCTTTGATGTTGTGTTTGTTCAGGATTCTGCTGATGCGGTCCGTGGTGCCTCTGACGTATGGGAGTACTACTGCCTTAATCTTCTCTTTCTCTGTCTCTGGTGTCGTGGTGTTGTTCTGGCCGGATTCCTTGTTGGTCAGCTTATTGATGGTACGGTTGATGTTTCTGCTGCTGTATCCGTTCCTGGTCAGGGTTCGGTGAAGATGGTTTAGCTCTCCGTTCAGGGCGGCTGGTTCCGAGATGGAGAGTGCTCTGTGGACTAGAGAGCTGATTACTGAATTCTTTTGGGCGGGGTGATGGTGGGAGTTTGCGTGGAGGTATCGGTCCGTCTGCGTTGGTTTGCGGTAGACGTTGTGGCTTAGGGTGCCGTCTTCGTTCCTACGGACCAGGACAAATTCACAATGGAGACCGAACAGAATTCCCAAATCCCCTTCCTGGATGTCCTGGTTTAGTTTATTCATGATCCAGACAACTCGCTGTCGCATCATATCGGCTCGCCTCTTATACTAATACGGGATGATTTTTACATACGAGAAAGACTAACGCGCGGTCGCCACGTCGCGGCAGTATGTGATACTAGTGCTATCTATTCAGGTTAACGTTTATCACATTCTATGAGGGAATCAGGCGTACCGGATCAGGTACATGTCAGGAATTCCTTCCCAGATAGCACAAAGACGTCTAAAAGACGACTAAAATATGACAGATTTTCGTCATGGATGTCTTTTAGGTTGAGCCAATAGTCGACAAAAAGATGACTAAAAGACCTCTTATGTCCCACTAAATGTCGACTTATAGCCGAGACTGAAAGATGGCTAAAAGACGTCTGATATTAAGCATCTTTTAGTGGTCTTTTACAATTGCATTATGGATATGTTTCTGTTTTTATCTTTGTATTTATAAGGTGTAAGTAAAATTTAAAAAATATTAGGTGCGCAACTAAGTTCTCGCTGTTTTTTTGATGAAAATACAACTTTATTGTGAAAAAATGGTTACAAATGAATCATTCAAAGTATTGCCCATCGTTAGCTACAACTTTTTCCCATCTTTCTGGCAGAGCTCGAATACCGTTACAGTAAAAGTGTTCATCTTTTGAGGCTATCCACGAATCAAGCCATTTTTTGATGTCTTCATATGAGCGGAACTACTGATCAGCCAGACCATGTGCCATCGAACGGAACAAGTAATAATCGGACGGCGCAATATCTGGGGAATATGGCGGGTGGGGTAGGACTTCCCATTTGAGCGTTTCCAGGTAGGTTTTAACAGGTTTGGCAACGTGAGGCCGAGCGTTGTCCTGCTGTAGAATCACTTTTTCGTGCCTCTGCTCGTATTGTGGCCGTTTTTCGCGCAGTGCTCGGCTCAATCGCATCAATTGAAGTCGATATCGTTCCCCAGTGATGGTTTCGTTCGGTTTCAACAGCTCATAATAAATAACATCGACCTGGTCCCACCAAATACACAGCATAACCTTCGCAGCGTGAATATTAGGCCGAGCCGACGACGTAGAAGCATGACCGGGCAGTCCCCATGACTTTCTTTTCTTTGGGTTGCTGTAATGAATCCATTTTTCATCACCCGTCACGATGCGATGAAGAAAACCCTTCCTTTTTTGCCGCTGGAGCAGTTGTTCACAGGCGAAAAAACGACGCTCAACGTCCCTTGGCTTCAAATCATAAGGAACCCAAGTTCCTTGCTTTTGAATCATTCCCAACGCATGCAATCGCTTGGAAATGGCTTGGCGGGTAACTCCTAATGCTGAAGAAAGCTCTTCTTGCGTTTGGCACGGATCCTCATCGAGCAATGCCTCCAATTCAGCGTCTTCGAAGGTTTTTGGCCTTCCTTCACGCGGATGGTCGTCAACATCGAAATCACCGTCTTTGAAGCGACGGAACCAATCACGGCACGTTGTTTCACTTAGAGCAGCATCTCCGTAAACTTTTTGAAGCTCTCGATGCGCATCAGCCGCCGTTTTCTTCGAATGAAAGAAGAAAATCAACACTTCCCGCAAATGACGATTTTTTGGCACAAAATCAGACATTTTCACACAACCAAAAGTATATGACGCCAAAACAAAATCACTGCTGTGTCAAAACCACATGTTTACCATATGTCTAAGCTTGGTTCATGACGTTTTGGATATGTCGAAATCGACCAACACTTATTGCTGGAGCCATCTATTGACAAACAGCGAGAACTTAGTTGCGCACCTAATATATACATGTATAAAAACACATATACATCTAATAAAATGTTAATTTTTAAATTATAATATATTTCTTACATGTGTATGATATATTATATGTACAATATTTATATGTATACCTATGTTAGATGTATTTATACATGTAAATATATTTCTTGTGTGGACATATAATAAGCGGCGCAGAGTCTCTCAACAGCCTACGTCTCTCGATCCTAGTCGCGCGGACAAAAGCGGCGAGCACATACTTTTGCATAAGTGTATAAGCATATGCATAACGAATTTGTTTGGTCTATATGCAAATGCATAAGGAAATGAATCAATCTAATTCGTTATGCATATGCTCATATATTTCGCAAGTCGACACCCCAGTGAGAAATGATTCGTCGATCGACGTCGAAACGACGTCGAATCGACATCGACGCCGTCGAATTGGCGTCAATTCGACATCATTTCAGTACGTAATTCGATATCATTTCAGACATTGCAGTACGTAAGAGAATACCGAATACTTCGTACGGTATTAGAGAAGAAATTTGTTACTCCATGTATGCAAGTGAGTCCGTTGTGCAGTGGAAATTGTGGAGAGATCATGTCCCGTGTGTTCTCTTACGTACTGCAATGTGAGCACAGCCTTTCGATATCCACCACCGGATGAGATCGTTATTTGTCATATAGAGTGACATTCGTTTTGTGTTGTAATAATAATTTTGTATACTCAAGCTTTTGCTCATTTATATTATTTTTTAACTATTAATGTTGTGAAATAAGTAATCTTTTTTGTTAGATGTTATATGTCATTGAACGGGATCACATTGGTTGACCAAAACGTTTGACTTGTTCAATTCTATTAAATATTAAATCTAATATTACATTCGCACCTAACACTTGGCGTTTGCTCTTATTTTGTCCCTTTCTGCTTATTAACTTAAAATTAATATTAAAAATATCATAAAATTAAGAATTGGAAGATTCTTAAAGGTCGCCAGAAGTAATTAAAAACATGAGCACTTTTTTTACCATGTCTGGCAAGTTTAATGTAGTTGAAATTTACAACGTTTCGACCACAGTTTTTGGTTCTTTTCAAGTAATCTAAAAGTTACAATCTATGTTAGTGTGGTTTATAAATATGTGACATTTTCAATTATTAAGAGGAAGCCTAAATTATACTTGTATAATTCCTGTTATACGAATATAGAATATACGAGTGATACAGTAACTTACATCATGTACAGTTCGTCGTTATATCGCAAGACAAAGTTGTTGATTGCTCGAGATTCTGAACATGACTACGATATTTTTGAGGTACATTAGATCGGGGGAAAAAGGGAAATCGAAAAAGTAGGGGAAAGTCAAGGGTGAAAAACAATACGTTATGTTAGAGAGATAATGTGGTCATATATTAAGTTTAAGTTTTCTGTGTCATTTTGTAAATTAATGGTTTCGTCAGTTTTTTTAATGTAAAACATTTCGGCAATCTCTCTTCTCCTTGTATTTCTTTCGTGGTGTAGGATTTTTGGAGATGACCAATGGAAGTCATGATCGTAGGTGGTGCGGTGTTTGCTGACTACTGAGTGATTTGATTCTATCTTTTTGATGTCTTTAAGATGTTCATTTATGCGAGTTTTGAGGTGTCGCTTGGTTTGTCCGATATAGGAAACGTTACAATTCTTGCAATCGCTTTTATACACTATTTCAACATTTTGGTCGTGTTTTAATGGATCTTTTTCTTTTCTTATGAGACAGTTTAATTTTTTGGGTACTGTTAATAAGGTACTAAGTCCCAATTCTCGGAGTTTGTGTTCAACATTGTCGCTTACGTGTTTTATGTAAGGGAAGCTTAGCTGAAAACGGGGATCGAAGAGCTTGTGTTTGTCATTGTTTAAATTATCGTTGTAACGGAGGTAGCCGGGGAGGCGCGGCCGGAAGCGAAAAAAACCGCATACCACGCGTGGGTGGCAAAAACCGCATACCACGCGCGAGAGAGAAGGAAATAGAGCCGCGGTTGCCATGCCAACGAGGAGGTGGCAACGCCGCGCCTGCCCGGCCGTCTCTACCCCGCGCGCTCCGGAGGTATAAACGCCCCTCCGGAGCCGGCGCTTTAACTTAGTCTTGCCTCGGTGCTCCGAGCGACGACACCCGGCAGTGGGTACTTCCGCTGCGGTATACGCCGATTTCACGGGTGCTCCTGTCCGTCGGCGATATACCATACCGGAGTATACGACAGGTGGAGGCGCTGCTCCGTCGTGTGCTCCAGTCCCGCAGTAACGTACAAGAACGGGGTGCTGCCCGATGTACACAGGTTTCCTGTATCCGTCCGCAGTAGCGTACAAGAAACGGGGTGCTGCCCGGTGTACATTTGCTACTGAAATTCACGCATAACGAGGCGCTGCTCGGGCGTGTTCCTGACCTGATCCGATCCTTTTTTCCTGTTCCTGACCGGTGTAAGCTCTGGGGGGAAATATTCGGGTGGGGAAGAGATTCCAGATTAATTTAGAATTAAGCTCCGTAGCGTTAAATTCGTCACTTCCTTCCTTACAGAACCCGTGAGAATCCTGTAGTTAACGCCCTCGCCGATTGTTCCAGCGTTACTAGTCCGTAGTGATAGTCCCGATAATTACATCCCGATCCAGTTCCCAGGTAGAACACAAAATCATAAAAATCATTATGACGTCATTCGATACACTTTTTATGATGATTTTGTGATAAGTTCTTGATGTAGAAATGATTTTTAAGTGATTTTTAACTAGAAATCACTATAGAAATCACTTAAAAATCATTTCTACATCAAGAATTTATCACAAAATCATCATAAAAAGTGTATCGAATGACGTCATAATGATTTTTATGATTTTGTGTTCTACCTGGGTTGTGGACTCTCGGCACCACATTATAAATCCCGCCAATCACATTGCGCTTATTGCTTTCAAGTATTCTATAATCCAGCGGCGTTTAGTTTCTACTTCCGATTAATCCGACTGGCCTTATTGTATTATATTCCATATTCCGATCCAATTGCATATCTTCCGTACAGTATTATAATCCGACTAATCCTGACCTTTTCTTCTGTATTTAATCACAGGGCGGACTCATTGTACCCACTAATCCTTTTTCTTTTCCTTTTATATTTGATCACAGGGCGGACCGATTGTAATATCCTCGATTTCGTGTATTATATCCATAAATAAACCTTGTTCCTATTGATTAACCGTAAAACACCTGTAAGACTTATTTCCGATCCCTTCCAAGCGATTTTTC